CATGGCATCGTTGAAGCAGTGCATTCAGAAGATTGAGCACGAGTCCAAGACTCTAATGGAGACAGACCAAGTGGGTCATGATGAAGACGGTGAGTTTTGTGACCAGCAGTTTCAGTAATTTCACTACAGATGACCTAACTGCAGAGCTGGGAGGAAAACGACCTCCTATCGCCAGTCGTGTTATAATTACACTCGTTTTTATTTTCCCACGCGTTGAACATATATGAAGACGTTAGGAAACAGAGTTTATGCTAAAATTGGGACATTTCCTGGAATTATAGCAAAAATTTCTTGTGGAGAGGAAGTTTCCTTTTTTAATTTCATAAATTTCACACAGTCCGTATGATCCAGTTGTGTAATGTTGCACACAATCTCAACAGTGTTGGTCTGAAAGCCTCAAATCAAATTCACTAGTAACAAACTGCTAACATCAGAGAATCTCCCGTTGGAGCTGGGCCTCTCATTCAGCTTGTGATTCTATAATCATGTATGTGTTGCTTTAAAGTGATGATGTTGGTTTGTGTGGTTTATTATTTTTTTTACCCAGTGAAGAAGACGATGAAAAGTGACAAGGCGACCAGTGAGGGCCCTCGCTTTACCAGCGGTGTCATCATGAAGATTTCAGACAACAAGCCTCTACCAGGGAGGAAGCTCATCAAAGTACAGTACCTCTCAGTGCCACTGGCAGTTGGTGTTATTATCTGTATTTGGGCATCAAGTGGTGAAAAGTCAGAGAAAAGAATGAGCTACAGTCTGTGGCTGGTAATGAGGCATCGTATGGCTGAGCTCTTGTGTTTGTGTGTGTGTAGGACACTCTGTGCAAAATATCACCAGTGGCGTACGTTGACATCTTGGAAGGAGATGCCGAGGGTCATGTCCGCTTTCACAGCCCCGAGGAGGCGAGAGCCGTCAGCGACGCTAGAGCCGAGCTGCAGAAGGAGCACGGCTGGAAGCTCGAGATCCTCTCAGGTACGCTTCCTCGACTTATTTAGAGGAAGACATGCTCGTCATGTTTTTGTGTGTACTGCTGTACATGGCTACAGTGTGTACCTGTAGTCCAGGTGAGGACAGGACGTGATGACCGAGCTCTGGCCTCTGATGAAGGCAAACATAAGTTATGGGGGCAGCGCCCGTCAGTTTGTCTCAAGTTTTGCGTTTTTCAAAAGATTTCATAGTTGAACTTAGATGATTTAAATGCTCAAGAATTAGCTTTTGTTTTGAATGAGTCAGGAAGAAAGACCAATTTTAACATTTTACTCTTGGGATCAAAAGGTGATCATGAACAAAGGTATTGGCACAAGATCCTGGTGGACCGGCAAGTCAAGCTGAATCGCCCCAGGGAGAAGAAGCGTGGCACAGAGAAGGTGAGAGAACCCTGGAAAGTGTCAAATGGAAAAATACAGGCTGATGGCAGAATGATGAGGAATCCATCTGTGAACACTTAGAATGCTTTCTGATACAGACTAATACCTGGAATAATGTTGGCATATTAAAGCAGTGCCTTGTCCTCCGTTAATTTGCTGTCATATGTAACTCCTCCTTTTCTTGTCACACTTCAGCTCATATCCAAAGCAGAAAAAATCATCCTTGCCCGGGCCAAGGAGGCGAACAAGCACATCCGTTTCCAAGAAGACTAGCAGCTGCTTACGCTAGCTTTGTTTTTACAACCACACCTGTGTGACCCTGTAGACTCTGCATGATGTGGTGTGAAGGGAGCAGCTGGTGAGGGCTCGAGGAGCCCGGGACAGGTTTAAGTGAGTTCAGTGTCCCCTCATTTTGTTTTCACTGCAGCCCCCGAGGTAATGTGACCTGCTGCTACGCACATAGATGATTTGGGAAGACTTTTTAAAATACTTCACTTTTTTAAGGAGAGTTTTCTGTGTATGATGTAGATAGAATTGAAAGTTCTCCCAGTCAAGGCTGGATCATGACATTGTCCCTGGTATAGTTGCCTTTTTGTTTTCTAATAAAATGTCATTATTTGATTATTACACTCTTTGTGGTTGTATATTTGCAACACATTTGTGCTTCTTAAGTTTGTATAGAAGGCCAAAAAAACAGGCTGCCTTGACTTAAATGTATTCAGCCCTACTGCCAAGTATCACTGTTTGATACTGTGGTTTAGATGGAGCGTTCACTCCAGTGCCAAATGTTGGCCTCAGTCAAAACAAAACAGCTTTGCTTCCTCCGCTAAGTTGCTGACTAGCAGATGTTTCAGCTGCAAAGTATTTCCATTATTACTGAAAGACATACGCCATGTTGTGGTAGAAAGCCTGTAGCTGTTTATCTAATGAAAACCTCTTTACCAAACTGGATATGATTTGCTTTCACATTGCAGATTACATAACACTCATGAATTAAATCATATAGCTGATAATCTGGTGGGTCTGTGATGGCTCCTCGCCGTCGTCGCCGTCCGACCGGGTCACTCCTTTGTCTGCAGACGTTGACTGGTGCATCCAGGATGCATTACATCTGGAATTACACACTGCAGCCTCAGTCATTTTGGGATCAGGTCTCAAAGGCTTGTTGGTGGTTTTACAGCTCTCAGCAGCCGCAGCTGTGCACGCTGACACGGGGCTTTTCCAGGGCCAGGCCATGTCTTCTTTATGGACGGCAGGGAGCTGTCGCAGTGTGTTCCAGTCTTTGTAAGCTTCCCTCATAGTGGTCGTGGCGTGAAAAGGCTCCTTACTCTGGCTGATTTGCATAGAGGGCAGGATTGGCTCGGTGCGCTGCCACTTCAGTGGTGTGAAGTCTGCATGTGTGGTGGAGATGAACTCAGTGTGATCAGCTGCTGGACTGAACACTCGGGCTTTGCCTTGGCCGTGGAACTTGGTTTCCGGGGACTGGGTCTTGAAATGCTTGAAGAATTCACTGGCTCCATCAGTGCGTTCTTGGTTTATGTCCCAAGCCATCTTGGGTGTAAAGGACGCTGCAGGCTCTGTGAGCAGAGCTATGTTGTCTCGGTGCACAGGTTTGTCTCTGCTTGTCCTGGGCTGCACTGGGTGGGCGACGTAGTCGGCTCTGTAGCTGGTCATGCTTTCAAACACACGTGGCCTCTGTAGGGCTGGTGGAGAGGTCACTTCCACTTCAGCAGCACCTTTCTGGGAGGGGCTGTCTGTGATAACTGACCCCTGGTTGACGTTGAAGCTGTCACTCAGCCGGTCCATGTTCGTCTTCCATGCTCGGAAGTCATCTGCAGATAGAAGATTGTGAGAGTTCTTTTGTATTTGTGCCTTGAATGACTCCACCGGTCTTTAAGTGGCTTACGTTTGTACACAGATGTGTAGTCCTCCACCCTGAGTTTCAGCTGCATGTGTGGAGCGCTGCTGCATTGCCGTTGAGCTCTGGGTGCCACAGGTGGCTGTGGGGCCTTCGGCGGGTTTTTTACCAACTTGGTGACAAAGTATGATCTGAAACACACATGAGATGTGAAATTTGTCCGTTTTGCTTTTGGAAGTGTATAATTCGCACACATTTGAGCTCAATATTTGGCTTAAGCTCCATCGGTTCTACAGGTGGAGCAATATTAACGATACAACCTACCGATACGTGGCTATGTCAGAACTGGTCCCCTTCAGCGGATGGTAAGGGTTTTTCTGTTTTGCGGTGGAGATGACGGCCATATGGCAGCAGGGAGGGAGGAACCTGTCCTGGTACTCGGTGGTCATGGAGGTCCGGGCTGGGGCCCAGCGGGGGCCACAGTGCTTCCTGCACATCAAGGCGAGTTTTAGACACAGCTACACTATATATGTTGACACGGTTTGTACTTTATCTCAGACATAAGTCATCAGCACAATCTATAGAAACAGAATAATGTACCTGGGGGTTTAGAAGATAAGTAAAAGAGTTAGCACCTACCTTGTATGGACACTATATATCATTTCTCTGTTGATAAGAGTTGTTAACCTGTAGCATAAGACTAAAACCCCTGCACGAGTGACCCTGATCACTATTCACAGAAAACTGGCTGTAGCAAAGGTTCAATTTGAAAGAATCCACAGCTACAAGCCGGTGTCCAGCTGGTGTGTGTTTGGGTCTGGGAAAGCCCGTCCAAAATCCCATTAGAAACGCGTTACAAGCAGATCACCTCACCTCATAGAGGCTCGCTGTGTGCTGCGCTGCCTCATAGTTTGGGGGTGTCTCGCTCCTGGGGCGGTGCGTGCACCCTGTGTGTCTTTTTCGGCGTCCTGTGGCTGGAAGTCGCTGCAGCCCTGCTCCCTGACTCTTCACTGCAGGCCTACAACCTATGAATTATTGACCGGAGGAACACGGGCTGTGTGCTGAACGAGAGTGTCACGACGGCTTCTAAAAATAAACACTAGTGGACGCAGACCGGTTGCCAAGGTGAGGACGCTGCTCGTGACAATGCGCTCTTTTGGCGCGTAAAGAGGATCCCGAACCCCCGGTAGTTATGGTACATAAAGTGGAATAGCTGCTTTGTTAAAACAATCCAAGCTGTAAAATCATGTGGCATTAGGCCTGATTACATGGCTTTTACTGCTCCTCTTGGTTTAATTTAACACGGTGGATACGGGTGGTGCATTTTGCAAGGTGACTTGGTTGCAGGGCTCCATCTGTCACTTCGCAGTCATGTCCAAAAAGGGGGGAGGGGGTGGGCATGTAAGCTTTCATATATGTACCAACACACGCGCACATGAGGCAGCAAAGGAAACGATGACCTTGTGACCCACCGCAGGCGAACTGATGCCGTCATGGGGATTTTTCCGCCCACAGATGTTAAATAATGGATTGTTGAATTCACAAGAACAAGCGCGTTGCCGTGTTTGTCCACTAGATGGCGTCCAAAACTTGAAAGAAGGCTGTCAGGTCCATTTGGTTCTAACAATTTCACAGTAATAGAGTATACAGTTTTTAAGTAAAACATTTTACTTCTATCTGGCGTTAGAGCAGAATAAGTCAAACGATGTATTTTATAGTTTACCACCAAGGCAGTTTGCACACAGCCCACAACAACATGCCTACAAAACAGGGCAAGAGGCCAACAGCAGACATCTAATGGCCCCCATCATCTTAAGACATACTGAACCAATATATATATAAAAAAATCTTAGTAAAAATCCATGTAGATACAAAAGGGGGAGGGGCTTGGTTGTATCAGGAATTCTGACAAAGTTTGATTATATACTACTTTTGACTTTTCAAAATATCAGATCAATTTTTCCTTTTTTAACATAAAAATACATTTCTAATAGTAGAATATACTTAGATTTTGGTGGGACAAAGACAAAAACTGCCTTGGATAGTGATCAGTCAGATCCACACTGATATCTGTGCACTTCATCCATATCTTTCATTTGAAGTGATTTACTGTAGAGTGACGTGTTTTCACAGAGAAGCATTAAAATGCAAAAAGGCTTGGAAAGAGGAACCTCAGAAGAAGGAGAAGTCTGGTGAGGCTTATGGGTATTTGAAGTTTCTGCCATTAATACATTTCTATCACTTCTTATTTGCATCACTCAGAATAGTTTCGGCATCTTGAAACTTGTGAACCTCGTTGAAAATAGATGTAATATTACTGCTGTTCATTAAATATAACGGAGTAACAGTCAGCACATCATATATAGCCTACAGCCTTGATGCTTATGTAAACCAGAGGGTGGTGCCAAAGCTTAGTAAATATGAGATTATCATTGTCCTATTCAAACTGTCATGAATGTTTACAATCGTTTTTTCACCTCTGCAGTTTGGAGCCGTGCAGGAATTTCACAGAAACGATGTCTGTAACAGTGAAACATGTTCCAGTTTGTCATGACACAATCCTAGTAACTAAATTAAGGGAATAGGCAATGACTACCAGCTCCTTTCTCCACTGGTCAGTCAATGAGATTCACATTTCGACAGTTTAGTTGGTGCCTTATCTCGAGCACTTAAGATGTTTGTGCGTTTTTACGCAGCATAATGTCAAAAAACTGAATATTATGGTCGCCAAAAACTGACTGCAGAAATGTGATTATTCAGTTTTAAAACCTATTAATTCATTATCTAACGTGTTTGCTGTTTTATGGTGACCTTACAGTCACCCATCATTACACAAAGTGCGACAATTTCCACTTTACGCAGCGTCCAATCGTTTCACAACCACAAAGCTCGTAGCTACACTTCCTGCCAACTGAGGGGCAATTGTACTGGACTGAGAGCGCAAAGGGATAAATTATGTTAATCAGTCGGGGCAGATTGGAGGCGTGCTGTTGCCTTAATGAGGGGGAGCATGCCTGCGTTGTGGAAAAGCTGCGAGTACTAGTGTCGTCTCCACTGCGTGCACACTGCCTTCTAGTTCCCCAGTCTCTCCTTTTACTTTATTGTGCATAATAGCAATTTCTTCTGCAGTCGACTACTGTGCAAGGCTCGGTGCAACAAGTTTGCAGGAGCCCCTCACGTCGTCAGGCAGGCTGACTTCCACTCATCTCTCTGTCCCTGTACGTGAATGCCGCGTCGCAGACACGCACTCAAACAGACCAGTGTGCCATAAATTCGCGACTCCGCGCCAGATGCAGTTTGCTCCCAGCAGAGCCGGTAGTTATAGTTAAATAGCAATCGCAGAGGCAAGAGGAGCATCTAAGTGCGCGGAAAATGGAGAAAGAAGTGGCGCCTCAGAAGCGACAGTGCTGTCGCACAACAGTGCTGAACGTCATCTCGTCTTTATGTTCACTGGCGTCCATCGCCTTTTGCATTCTTCTCAGCATTAACACCGCTGATATTAAGAGCCGGGTTGTGAATTTGGAGAGTGGGAATGGGGAGCACACCTTAATCCCTGCCCCCGGCTACTCCATGGATGATTTTAATTCCCTGATTCAACAAAGAGTGGACGAGCTGCTCTCTCAGGTAAGACTGGCTCCTGAACTTGCGCTCTCTGACTTGATTGATTTCAGCCGTCTAATTGCCCAAGTGACGCTGTTTCAGACTCGCAGAACTCCCCCATATCCTGGAGGTTTAGTGAAAACATCATGCCCATATGAATGAAATGACACTGTTTTCTGATTTCAGCACTCCTATGAGAAAATTAAGATTCGCACCGCCAGACAAGCATCACCTGAATGCAACTGCCCTCCAGGTAAAGGAAACTCTACTTCTCTCACTCTGGTTATGTGTGTGTGCGCCAGACGCTGGATTTGAAGCCTGTCTGAAGTTGATGTAAGAATGAATGGGAGCTTTCTGAACAGGCCACTGAAATCGATGACACATGCCAGTTTACCTAAGTAGTGTTGTGACGGTTTGGGGAGGCCTGCCATGAGGGATGCAGACAGCTGACTGGCCGTGCCACTTGACAGAAAGGACGGCATTTAACAGCCTCTATACATAGAGGTGCTGAGAGGTTGTTTGACTAGTGATGCTGCCTGTGTATTTGGATAAAAACGCTGCTTGAAATTCACGTTTCCCACCAGTAGATGGAAACATTGTTTCCCTCAGCGTTGGTCAGCATTCAGATCATTCTGGGAGTGAGTCCAGGTTGCAGTGCATTGCTGTGGGAGATTCTGCTGGGCTGTTAGAAAGAATTGTTGCACAATTTGAGCTGTAGCATCACATTCCTTCTGGCTTTTACCTTGGCATTTGTCCATCACTGTCAGATGTAACTGGGGGTGAAACATGGCACGTGTGATTGACGGCACCAGTTTGAATGCAGTGAAAAAGACAGGAATCTTCTTACAGAAAGAGCCCTGCAGATGTTTCCTGGCAATATGGATTTAAAAATGCTACCACATAAGCCAACAGCTAAGTCTGGAGTTCAGATGGTTGTACAGTTTTAAAACCCAGTGAGTCTAATAAGAATATTTTCCTATTGTTATACACAAGCTATGGGTTGTGTACAATGAGGATCTAACAGGATTTCCTTCATACTGCTGTAGGAGGAGCATGTTGTCACAGTTGAATGTAAACTGAGCATCTCCTTCAGAGTATCTGAAGGATTATGGTCTTTACTGGGGTGATAAAATCCAGTTACTGTACGAGCCAAATTAATCCTTTAAAACCCATTAGATTATGTGAAAAACACTGTTAGTTGGCTGCAGACAGAGCTGCCTTTCTTAGTTATAAAATGGACTTTTTGGATTACACAGACACGAGAAGTTGCATGAATTTCATTGGGATGATCCACTTAACGCCTTGCAGCCTTTCTTATGTGTTAACTATAGTTATGAACTCCAAAATGTCACTGAGCCAGTTTCCACAACACCAAAGGCTTATCACCCTGGATCCTCCACCCCTTTCAGTTTGGGTGAAATGAGTCATTGAAATCAGAAAGAATAGTATTATCCTGGCTCTGTCAGTAACATGTCAGAGAATCTATCAGCATCATGGAAATCTGATGCTAATTTCTAGCAGACTGAGTTCACTGCTGAACTGCTATGTGCTGGAGGAATGAAGAGGGATCTGTCGGCTTCACGTGCTCGATCAGCTCCAGCTGGGAGTGTGACACAGTAGGTGCCTGTAGGTGACCTCTCTGGAAAAGCCAAAGTGGTGATGTGGAGCAGAGTCACCCAGTGGCTGGAGCTCGAGACGGGCAGTGCGGGACGCTGTGGAGTCATCTGTTGTTAGCCCTGACCTCTGAGCTCTCTGTTGGGTGAAGGCCAGATGCGCACAGCAACACAGAGTGATGAAAGAAGAAACAAGACTTGCTAATTGTGAATTAATGACCAAAATTCTTTTCCCTTGCAGACCTCGGCCAGAGCTCATAGCTCCCCAGCTTAGCCGCAATGTGTTGGAGTTTACCCCGGTGAACGAGAGGGTCGTTTCCCTGTGCCTTCGGGTTGCGGACAAGGCTCTCACT